CTATATTATGTATCCTTTGTATATACACTGCTCAAAAAAATAAAGGGAACACGGAAATAAGACATCCTAGATCTGGATGAATGAAATATTCTTATTGAATACTTTGTTCATTATATAGTTGAATGTGCTGACAATAAAATCCCACAAAAATTATCAATGGAAATCAAATTTAGCAACCCATGGAGGTCTGGATTTGGAGTTACACTCAAAATTAAAATGGAAAAAAACACTACAGGCTGATCCAACTTTGATGTAATGTCCTTAAAACAAGTCAAAATGGGGCTCAGTAGTGTGTGTGGCCTCCATGTGCCTGTATGACCTCCCTACAACGCCTGGGCATGCTCCTGATGAGGTGGCGGATGATCTCTTGAGGGATATCCTCCCACACCTGGACTAAAGCATCCCCCAACTTCTGGACAGTCTGTGGTGCAACGTGGCATTGGTGGATGGAGCGAGACATGATGTCCCAGATGTGCTCAATTGGATTCAGGTCTAGGGAATGGGTGGGCCAGTCCATAGCATCAGTGCCTTCGTCTTGCAGGAGCTGCTGACACACTCCAGCCACATGAGATCTAGCATTGTCTTGCATTAGGAGGAACCCAGGGCCAACCGCACCAGCATATGGTCTCACAAGGGGTCTGAGGATCTCATCTCGGTACCTAATGGCAGTCAGGCTACCTCTGGCAAGCACATGGAGGGCTGTGTGGCTCCCTAAAGAAATGCCACCCCACACCATTACTGACCCACTGCCAAACTGGTCATGCTGGAAGATGTTGCAGGCAGCAGAATGTTCTCCACGGTGTCTCCAGACCCTGTCACGTCTGTCACAAGTGCTCAGTGTGAACCTGCTTTCATCTGTGAAGAGCACAGGGCGCCAGTGGCGAATTTGCCAATCTTGGTGTTCTCCGGCAACTGCCAAACGTCCTGCACGGTGTTGGGCTGTAAGCACAACCCCCACCTGTGGACGTCGGGCCCTCATACCACCCTCATGGAATCTGTTTCTGACCATTTGAGCAGCCACATGCACATTTGTGGTCCGCTGGAGGTCATTTTGCAGGGCTCTGGCAGTGCTCCTCCTGTCCCTCCTTGCACAAAGGTGGAGGTAGCGGTCCTGATGCTGGGCTGTTGCCCTCCTACGGCCTCCTCCACGTCTCTTGATGTATTGGCCTGTCTCCTGGTAGCGCCTCCATGCTCTGAACACTACGCTGACAGACACAGCAAACCTACTTGCCACAGCTCGCATTGATGTGCCATCCTGGATGAGCTGCACTACCTGAGCCACTTGTGAGGGTTGTAGACTCCATCTCATGCTACCACTAGAGTGAAAGCACCGCCAGCATTCAAAAGTGACCAAACCATCAGCCAGAAAGCATAGGAACTGAGAAGTGGTCTGTGGTCACCATCTGCAGAACCACTCCTTTATTGGGGATGTCTTGCTAACTGCCTATGCTTTCCACCTGTTGTCTATTCCATTTGCACAACAGCATGTGAAATTGTCAATCAGTGTTGCTACCTAAGTGGACAGTTTGATTTCACAGAAGTATGATTGACTTGGAGTTACATTGTGTTGTTAAGTGTTCCCTTTATTTTTTTTGAGCAGTGTATTTAATGGAACATTGGTCAAATTCTTTTCATTTCAAAAAGAAATACTGAAAATTGTCATTTAAAATAAAAGATTTTGGTTACAAAAAATAATTTGATAATAAAATGATTTTACTCACTTTCTCTTTAGATGCTGATATTAAGTTTCTGCCATTGTATATCCGCATAAATTATATGTCATTTTGTCATTTATATACAAAAATTGTTGTTGTTTTTTTATTATTCCTTGTGAACTTTATCTTGGTATTAAGTTACTTAATATCTTTCAAATGGTATACTGTATTGAGATTTATGTGTATTGAGCTTTGTTGATGTAGAAGTTTATTTACTGGTGACTGGTTTGGTTCACTTATCTCAGAACTAAAGGAAGAATGACGCTTAACCAGACAATCAACGTGGCTAACTTTCACTGACATTAGACAAAGTTAGTGAAATATATCTTCCACATTAAGAAATTATCTGCTACTGCTATCAAAGTTCAGCTATATAATTTCCAAAGAGTTTTTAATTTTATTTCATAAGAATACTACATTAATGATAAAAATGCAGCAAAAATGTATGAATGTGTACGTTTACAAGTATTACGTTTGTGTTTGAAACACACACACACACACACACACACACACAATTTTATTCATTTCTGTGTAGAATTTAAAAATCACCATTAATATTGCTGACGTGTACTGTACCTATAGCAAAACCAGTAGCTGAATAGTTGCAGTTGCTGGTGGGTTTTGATTGGTTAGAATCGAGCTATTTAGAACTATATCTTATTTTCTTACCATTTAGCTCTGACTCTAACGTTGCATGCTTTGCTGTTTTTTTGCCCCCTTTCTCATTTCCAGGAAGAGAGCCCCCTGAGTGTGTCTAGCCCAGAGTGGCTGCATTATACCAGTGGTGTGGGTACTGGGCGTCGAAGACGCAGATCAGGGGAACAAATCACTTCTTCCCCTGTCTCCCCTAAATCATTGGCTTTCACATCCAGTATTTTTGGCTCATGGCAACAGGTTTTTAAACTTTACTTCATTAAACATTACTGTGCATTCCAAGCAGGAACCAATTGTCTTTAAGGACATCTAATCCCTTGTTCTGGATTTTGTTCAAAGTAAATTACTTCACCTGTCATTAAAATATGATTTTAAAAATAATAATTACTTCCAAAAATGCCTGGGGGGAAAAAAGCAAGTGCATGTCTTATTTTTGTATGTTTTTTTCCTACACAATTTTCACTGAATATATTTGGTTATAGAATTAGTTGCTTTCAGCACTATATGGATTATTATGGGTTGTACCCTAATGAAACAGATCTAAGTTCTGTCTTAGCTGTCCTTCAAGGCTTTTTTCTGAAAGAAATAAAAGCAGCAGCATCTAATTCAGTGGCAAGCAAATCTTTTATTTTATTTTTTTGCTGACATAGGAAATAATTGGATTAAGCTATATTTGGGGTTAGAAATAGATAATATTTTCAGTTGCCATTAACTGTGCAGGAAAAAAAAAATCATTAGTACTAATCATTATTTTCTCCATGCCTTAACTGGATATACTTTTTTTTCCTTCCCCTCTCTCCTCCTCCTTTTCCTCCTCATTCTTCCCACAGTACTTCACCCATTGTCATGTAAAATGTGCTGAAATAGGAAAATGAATATAACATTGTACATTTGTTTAAATATGTTAGTCAAAAGGCTAATACCTTAAAGCAGTTACATTGTTTATGCTAAACAATGGATGGTGTTCTGTTGTGAAAACTTTTCTTTAGAAACTACATAGTTTCTGTTTGATCTTGACTTTTTAAAATATTTTGACATAGAGAACAAGTGTTAATTTTGAACATCAGAAACTCATTCTGGTAGGGCTGCATATGGTTCAGTAATTGTATGGTGACTTCATCAGCCTGTCTGTATTTCCTCTTTTTTTCCCCTTCCAATACAGGCGCAGTTTAGGAGTATTCATTTGGTAAACTAAACTAAAATGATACAGTTATATATGTCTTCATAATTTTCTTGGTGTCTGTCCTGTTTTATCATGAATGCCTGCTTGCACCACTTCATTGCAAGGATCTCATGAGTGAAATGGAACCCCTTCAGCAATAATTGCATGATCTTTCATATTATGTTGGTATTTCTACTAACTCATTGTATGGCTTTTTAATACTTGTCTGTCTTAGCAGGCGGCTGTTTCAAGTTTAATGGATTCAACCAGCCGATTAGACTGCTTTCCTTATTTATCTCTTTCTTATATCCAGGCACCATCAGAAAATAATAGTCTTTTTCGACCTCCAAGAACAATTGTGGAACAAAAGACCAGTGCTATAGGTATGTACATCTAATAAAATCCTGATTCTTTGAAATGGAAATACCCTGGTTTTAATATTGTTCTGATAACCTTGTAGATCTGCAGTTTGGCATCACAGAATTTTAACACCAACTGATTATTGGATCAACACTAAAAACAAACTAAGATTACTGGGATGATATTCCTTTGTACCAATTAAGACGCTCTTGAAAACCAAGCCATTCCTTTTTTTTTTCTTATTTGCTATCTTCCTTTTTCTTTTAAAACAATAGTAAAAGTTCTTTGCACTACCCCAAATTCCATCAACTACAGCTTTCAGTGTATAAACATAGATGGCTATTATAACCGCTGTCTTTTAGCACATTTTATTTTAATCCAGATACTGTTTTCTAAATAGTACTGCAAAAGGATACTTTATTAAATCATACTTTACTGTATTATCAAAATTATTGAAAGCATTATTGCCTTCTTCTGCTAAAATGATTTCCAGGGTAGATTGCAATAAAATCAGAAACCAACAAAACCATCCGTGCTTTACAGGTTTATAGTAAAAGATTTCACAAACCAAAAAGGGTTGATGAAGGAAGAGAGGAAAAAGTCATCACAAGTTACCTGTTTTCAAGGCTAAAACTCTTTTTATACACTCTTTTGAATGGGAATGAGAACCAGCTCAGTGGAGCTGGTCTTCTAACAGAGAAAATGTAGAGGGTGTTTTCAGGCTCAGCATTCACTTTCTGCAACCTAATATTGGTCAATAATACATTGTTAGTGATTTGTGTTGTTAGATATAGATGATTCAGTTTGTATAACATTTTCAGAACATACAAAATCATAAATATTGCCAAATAACTTGACACGTAAACTGTTAAAAATTTCTGTATTTCTCTGCTAAATTCTATACTCCTTCAATACAGCCTTTATTTGGTATTAATCATATCAGAAGTTTCCTTAGAAAAAACCATATATAACAGGTGCTCTTGGTTTTTGTAATTTACTTTTTCTAATTTTCAGTCTTCGTTTCTATGCTATATCACATTGTCAGTATGAAAAAAAATCTGATCTACTTATGTGCATAACTGAAGGTACAACTTTGCTTCAACATTTTTACTACATCATTTACATTGGATGAGTTTCATCATCACAGGTGCTAGTAATGTTTTGCTTTTTGTTAGGTCATTAATAGCTACTGCAATTCCTTGCAGTTAGGAGCATATGGTTAAAATTATATAAACCAGCTTTCAAATAGGAAATTTATCCTGTTACAAGTTCCACTGAGAAACACATTTTATCAATAGTTGAAAAAAAAATTGCATCTACAGTAGCCTTTTTTATAACTTTTAAATGTGAATTAGATAGTGATAGATATACCACAGAAAAATAATCTTGTAAATGTATATTAATATTACTTTTTATAAGTCAGATTTTTAATTATTAGTAAAAACACAGTTGTTTATACAATTTCAATATTAATTTGAAAGTTATATATTTTAATACAAATAGAGTGAATTTAGCTACTGGGCTTATTTCATGGGATCCATCTACCAAAGACCCAAATGGATGTAGCCACAAGCAGATTGTTTGAGAAATACTCAAGAATTCCAGGAAAATTTGCATATATGTGTTCAGTTCTGCTGTATCTAGAATTCTATCTTCATTTTTTTTTCCCAGTTCAAGTACAATTTCTGAAATCTAACCTTTATAATTCCACTCTTTTTTATTTTACACTGCCTCCTTTTTCCTTTGCCAAGTTTGTTTATCCTTCATTTAAGGACAATCTTATCTTTGGTAAAAATAACTTTAAACACAAATTATTATAGGAAATTACTGTAAAGATGCTACAAGCATAATGTAAATCTATCCAAAGCAATGCCACAAGGTGCCTTTTGTGTGGTAAGAGCAAAATGCTTGCATGCTGCATGCATCCCAATGTGAATAGAAGAACACCTGGTTTTTGTATGTATTTTCTCTAACTCCCATCAGGGTCTCACTGTGCGAGCCTGTTTAGCACCTCGGTGCTCGGGGGGTCTTCAAGTGCACCCAATCTACAGGATTATGCTCGTACTCATCGTAAAAAGCTGACTACTTCTGGCTGCATAGATGGTATGTGCACACTTTCGCACATGCATTTACATTTACACATGCCCATTATATTGCGTACTAAGGAACATTTTAAAAAGGCCTAAATCTTTTGACTGAGAAGAAGGCTAGGTTATTATTTGTCACTATTAAATACAGTGAATCTTACTGCCTATCTTTTCAGCATTAGGTTGAGGTTAATGTTTTTTCAATTCTTGTGTAACATATCATCTTCTGAATAAAAGATTTAAGAAATACAATCTGTACAAAATATTAACGTTTTGAAGTATGACTTCAAAAGTATTTTGAAAAATATATTTTGGAAATTCTGAAATTGGTTAGGAATGAAACAAAAAATATAGATGTTTTAAATTATAGTTTAGGCTATAGTTTAGGACAGTTAATGGAAATGACAGCACCAAATTTAGAATGATATTGCAATTTTTCTAACATGTTTGAGAATAAAAAACACATACACCTTTTTTTCTGCTGTCACTACCTGAACATTAAGTGCCAAGCATGCATCATTTTGTGCATCAAATTTGCAGTTACTCCTTTAAGTCCATGCACTCCATTAAAATCCTACGTAGTATCAAGCAAAGGTTATTTTTAAATCTATTTGGCCTGTGCACTTTTTCCAATACCTTTTGCATGCCACTTAATTCTAACCTTTTTTTTTATTTCCCTTCTTCCCACCTTCCTGTCTTTTCTTGAAATGTCCCTCTTCTGGTAGCTGGTTTGAATTTCAGGTACCTGTTTTTCTCTTTCTCAGACACCACACGTGGTTCTGCTGTTAAAAGGTTTTCTATCACATTTGCTCGACACCCAACCAATGGTATGTTTTGCTTTTATTTAAAAAAAATATTCCCTTGCTTCATCCCCCTCAAAAATGGGATGGATATTATTATCCCACTTTCTTTCTACACTCCATCTTAAGCACATATACATTTGTCCAATTATTAGGTATGGCAATTGATTAATCCCTTTTCATATATTAATTACATTTTTTTAATTCACACATCAAATCTTTTGGGGAAATAATATGAAAGAATAATTCAAATCTAATTATACACATTCATCCAAATGACTGACAATGAATACATTTTTAAACTTTTTTTTTTAAAAAAAAAAAAAAATTCTGGTCTTAAAGTTCCTTGGACTCTCTTCATAATATTCCTTGCCTTCTTGCTGCATTAGATATTTTCATCCTGAACCTTTGTACTGCAGCATTAAAAAATGTCTTGCTAAATCAGGTCAAAGTGCATTTTCTTAAGCATTTTGTTTCCAATAGCAACCATCAAATTGTGTTGGGAATTGCAGAAGGCAAAAAAGAAAAGTCATTTTCTACTTCTTTTTGTCTCCAGCACCCCAAGCTACACTGCCTTTAAACTTGGGGTACTGTTTGTTTAATTTCATTAGCTATTGATAAGAGCACTCTGTTAATTAAATTGTCATTTAAAATGAAATCTATCAATCATCTTTCTTGAAACTGAATTGCATTAAAATAAAAGTTAAAACAGTACACTATACTAACAATAACACAAGTTGTTTCCTTTATTTCAATCTTTTTCCCATTATGATGGAACCAGATTTTATTTAATCAATATATAGCTGCATTCCCTTGAAGATTGAACGAATTCAAAACTGCTTTTGTTGTTGTTAAAATTAGATGTTGGAGAAAAACACCCTTTTTCTGTTCCCATATGAAACATTTTGCACAAACTTTGCCAGTCAATCCTTTTATTACAGAAACTGAACTGACTGCCCCACAATAATAATGCTGCCCTCAATTCTTAATTCAGAACTTTCCAGTACTACTAAGTAAGAAACATTAATAAGTAAAAAGAAATGTGGGCTTTTACTGAAGTTACAGAACTATAGTTAACTCTTTGATACATTTGATTATTAGAAACAATCTAAAAAATGCAAGAAGTACTTGACTTATGATCACAGTTGAGCCCGGAATTTTGGTCATAATTCATTGTGGTCAGAAGTCGAATCACCATGTGACTGGACTTGATTTTATGACTTTTTACAATGATTGTTAAGTGAGTCACTGTGGTTGTTAAACAAATTAAATGGTTGTTAAGCAAATCACATGTTTTAACTCCAAGCTTATCCAATGGGTATTTTTTGCCAGAAAATGGCAAAAAAAGGGTGTAAAACATGATCATATGACCATGGGTTAGTGCACCAGGTTGTAAATTGTCAAGCACCTGAACTGTGATCATGTGACCATAGGGTGGTGCAGCAATAGTAATTTGAGGACAGTTTTTGAGTCCATCATAACTTCAAATGGTTGTTAAACAACAGTGAGAAAGCAAGGACTACCTATAACAGGTCAACTTTAGTTATGAAAATATTTGTAAAGACAGTTTTCATATATTATAAATGCTGTATGAATTGGGAAATTTAAAAATATGTTTGAACTCTTAAAATTAAACTATCTAAAAAGAGAAAGCAGCTTAGTGCAGCAATGCAAAGCAACCAATTTGGGTTTTTAATGTTAATTATTACATACTTGCATAATAAAGAAAATTCTGTTTAATAGCTAAATACATTTCATCTAATTTATGTTCTTAATATACTTTGTATATTATGCACAACTACATTACAAAGCTTTCTCTGATATACTTAATGTTTCTTAGTATCTTTAATAATTTATTGCATGCTTTAGGTATTTATTTGAACCTTAAAGATAATCTCCAATATATTGGTTGGGACTCTTAGGGACAGAGCGTGGTTTATTGTCTTTCCTCACCTTTTCATTGGAGCCTCTCCTCTCTCTCCCGCTCTCTCCCCCTCCCTCCCCCTCCCTCCCTCCCTCCTTTGGTAACCCTAACCTTTTTTCAGTCTTTCCCCTTTTCTCATCTTGAGTACAAGAAATATGGTGAAATCAGTACCTACTGACAGTGCTTTACCTTATTTTCTGGGCCTCTATGCAGAGCATCCAGACCTCTATAGGTGCTGGTCGGTTTCCTCTGAGGAATTTCTAGGCTCCAGTGGTATGTCTTTATAGCTTTCAAATGTAAGATGGCAGGCTGGCTTTCTGTTGCTGCGCTAACTCTTTCATTGTCTTCCATGTTGAGATATAAATATGTATTGCAATAAAAATTACCCTAGAACTATTGTTTAATTAAAGCTGGGCTTGTTTTAAAGATATTAACTTAAGAAGGAAGTTTTCTTTTTTCCTTTTCACCGAATCAGCCTCTTAGGAAATATCTAAAAACATTTGATAATTAGATAATAGAACTGCTAAAGGTTGAGTGTATGTGTGACTACTTAGTCCCCACTGTATAGCCAAGGAGAGACACTAATTTTAATACAATTTTCCTATACATTTTTCCAAGGTACTGATATTTAAGCATTTGGATAGGCATGAACTCTTTAAGTCAAAAAATAGTTTGTTATTATATTCCTTCTTGTAATCCTGGAGTTGTGCTTATAGATTTTTCTCTGGTAAAGAAAAGCTGCAGTTCTTGTGGAATTTACTGTAATGCAAAGAAAGGGTTTGCGCTTGCCTGCATGTATACTGTTGTAGTTTATTTTACCAAGCGTTAAACACAATTAATTTGAATTATACCTAGAAACTTAATTGCTACGATTAAAACAACTGCCCAAATATCCGTAATAAATATTACTTTACATATGAAATATTATAGGTTTAAAAAAATTAAGGAGACAAAAGTGGTATTGAAATCATTGAGAGATTGTGAGTTAAAATTAATATTACATTTTAAATGTGTCCTTGAAGAACTACTTCAGTTACAATCCTGTTTTTGAAATAAAATGCCTTGAAAATAATTTGGCAATCTAAATTGAATGAAATAGTTTTGTTCTTTAAACAATCTAATATATGGACATCATTTTGTGGGGCACTGTCACAATCAGTTCATGAAACTCCTTCAAATCTCTCATATATGTCTGTATGTATACATACCCACACAATCAAATATATATTTGTTTGGTTAAGTTTTCTTACTCTAGTACTTGAATACTAGAATACCTGTAGTTTTGTCTAATTTTTTGTATAATTAATGAGGCAGGTATTATTTTAATATGTTATTAAATATCTTGCATGTTGATGTTTTATGAAAGGAGTTTCTTAAATTTTAACTCAGAATTGTATACTTTAAAATCTTCCAAATTATTTTCCTATTTAGGTGGGAAACACAGTTTCATTGGTTATAGAAATAATCTTAGCATATATTGCAACATTAACTTAACTAATTCTTAAATAGGGCTTCTGCTAAAATGCATATATATGTGATTGTAATTACAGCTGTGTAAGTGATGGTTAAACTACTGTCTAATTTAAATATGCATGTTCTGTTAAGTTTATATAGAATTATGAGCTTCATGTGAAATACCCACTGGTTATTTGGTCTAAGTATTATTTTAGTTTGTGAAGTGGTGATTGTATTTATATTCAATGTATTTATATATATATTTGAGTGAGAGCCAGAGTGATTTTTGGCTATTCTTTATTCTCATGTTTGACATGTACTATCTCTGAAAATTTACATTGTAAAATCAGGCAAAATTTTGGAGCTATTTTTGATGAGAACAAAGATTTGTCAAAATCAGAAGTTTGCTGTGTTGAAAAGTATTTCATTACACATGGCCTAGGGTTCTTGTTTTTCTCTATTGTAGCTTTAAAGTTCTGTGGATCACGTTACTATCCAAAAAATAATTCAGTGCTTCTGGGCTTTTATGGTGAAAATCTGTGAGTTTTTCTTTTTCTTTTTTAGGCTTTGAATTATATTCCATGGTGCCTTCAATTTGTCCTCTAGAAACTCTCCATAACTCCTTGTCTTTAAAGCAAGTGGATGAATTTCTTGCCTCAATTACAGCCTCAACCTCGTGTGAAAATTTTCCAAATACATCTACAGCTTCCTTTCGTAATTATTTACTATATGTTCTATTTTTCAAACTGCAATACATTGCTACGTGTAAACAATTCATTAAAATATCAGAATTAGCACTTTGAGTTGCTTATATATCTCTTTATATACCCAAGGTTTAGAAGAACAGAATCTAAGACACAGATATGGTACAAAACAGTGTCTAAGATAAATGGTCATGAAATTCCAATTACAGAAGGGGCTACCTTACAATTGTATTAATTTGCTTGTTTGTTTGTATGGATTTTAAAATACTTGATTCCAAACAATGTGTAATACATATTCCATCCTAAGGCCTGTTGAAAAACTCAGGTTTTGATGGCCAAGCCTTTAGTGGATGACTGGCAGTTTCCAAACAAATATGCAGTACTTATTTTTCCTTTGCTGTAGCATTTGATAGATTCACTCAACTGAATCCTGCTTAGCAACGTTACCATACAATTGTCAGATTTATGCGTTTAGAATATATAATAACAAAAGTTATTTCCACCTCTACAAACACTGAAGATCCCCAAAGTTAAGTTGCTTTTATTATTCCACCTCTCAACATTCGCTTGTTCAAGACTAATTTTTAAATCAGCTTCACCTACCCCTGAAGGCCCAGCAGAATTTACAAACTTTTCCATGTACTAACTTATGTGATATTGTAATACAGGTAGTCCTTGACTTATGACTGTAATGGAGCCTACCTATTATGGTTGCAAGTTGTGACGGTTGTCAAGTGAGACACCTATATGATCATCTTGCTTAATGACACCAGTCCCTGTTCTCACTGTTCCAATTGCAGCATTTTCCCAGTTCTTATATGGTCTGTCCGAGGCCTTCACCATTTCCTGCAGCACCCCATGCTCTGCTTCCCACCACAATGAGTTTTTAATAGGCCTTGGACTTGCTTTCCCACCTCACTGGGTCACTGCAGGCCTTGGTCCTGCTTCTCAACTTGCTGGGTCTCACAATGCTCCTTACCCGCATCACAGATTAGTCATTTATCTTTTCATAGATCTTCAGTAAGCAGCTGCTCTGCCACACAGCCTCCTTACACAGTGGAGGTCATATGGCATCAGCCTGGAAGTGGGTGCCATTTTGGCAGTGGCTAAAATGAATTGTGGCTGTTCCAAAATGGCACCCACTTCCAGGATGGTGTCACATGACCTCCACTGTATAGAAAAGTCCCATGGAAGAGCAGCTGCTTGCCAGAGATCTATAAAAAAAGTGAGTGACCAATCCATGGGAGGTGGAATGGAAAGTGTGGGACCTAGCAGGGTAGGAAGCAGGCCCAAGGCCTGCAGTTATCAGGTGGGACAGGATGAGGGGGAGATTGGTGTGGGGTGCTGCATGCTTCCCTGTGGTCTGGATTGCCAAGTGCTCAAATATTGTTCACAACTGGAGAGGCCCAGTAGCAGCTGTAATTTCAGGCATGAGTTGTAAGTCCATTTGATTGCAATTTTGAACAGCCGCTGAATGAATGGTCATAAGTCAAAGACTACCTATATACCGGGTGTAAGGTGTAGACTACGAGTGGAAGACACAGATTCAATTCCATGGAAACTCACTAAAAGGTAATATACATAATGTATAGTGCCTGGAACTGCTGAAAGAACAAGAGATAAATCTAATGAGTTAAAAAAAAGAGTAAACCTATACCCAAATATACAACAGTGAACAATATCCAGCTACTCATACTGATGACGGAAAATTCCAGAAAGTGTACTTCCACTACCATTCCAAAGATGATCTATCCAACATTTCAGTGGTATGGTTCATGATCTAAAGGACTGAAAGAGAAGAGGCATCCCAAAGTCAGTAATTTTATTCCCTAAAGGTTCACATAGAAGTAGAATAACAGAGTTGGAAGGGACTTTGTAGGTTATCTAGTCCAATCCCCTGCTTAAGCAGAATAGTCTATTTCAGACAAATGGCTGTCCAATCTCTTCTTGAAAGCCTCTAGTGATGGGGCACCCACAACTTCTGAAGGCAAGACATTCCACTGGTTGATTGTTCTCACTGTTAGGGAATTTCTCCTTGGTAGCAGTGCTAAAAAATAATGTGGTTTTGTTACAGAACTTCTTATCCTGCCCCCATTAATCTTTTAGGTTCTCCATCATTTATTGATTCCGTGACAGAAAGAAAGTCGTCTTTAAATACATATACCCCTGCTAAAATCCAACCAACAACATTTGAAGACTATGCAGGGCGGAGATCTGTTGAGAGAAGCCCCTCAGGTAAGTAATGCTTAAGTTTACATGTTCTCATATCAGTAAGCTTTTAATTGGTCATACTTTTGTTATAACAATCAAATTTATATAATTTTAATCTTAATTGAAATCTGTACAAATCTTATTTTCTTTTTTATCTGATTAAAATTATTTATCAATATTGAATTAAAAAGATGAGAAATGTTTCATTAGTAGACAATGCTTTTTGACTTTAACTGATGACATATAAGTACAGGTAGTTCTCAACTTGCAGCTACAACTGAGATCACAATCTTCAGTCATTAAGTGAAACAATCATTAAGCAAAACATCACAACACATCTACTCAACAATTGCAATCCTGGCAGTCCTGGTTGTGGTCATTAAGCAATCTCCTGGACCACTAAGTGGACAGAGCAAAGAGTGCTCTACATGGACTTGCATCCTTCCAATAGACAACTCTTTTCCGCTCAAAAGAACTGCCTGTTGGAGGAATTCTACCTTGCTGTCAAAAGAGGCTGGCTGAAAAAGGTCCATCCAAAACTTCCAGCAGAATTTTGGCATAAGTATTTGTAGAGTATTTGCAGCCAAGATCAGAAGACATATCATGCTGCATTGTCCTGCAGAGAAAAAAGGGTTCTCTTTTCTGCAAGAACTCGCTGAAAATGGTCCATTATCCAAGCAGGATTTTGGCATGAACTGTTTGCAGCATGCGGCCTTTGCAGCCAGCTCCCATTACCTTCTATTTCTGGGGGCTGGCAGCAAACACCCCGTGCTGCAAATGGATTTTGGAATAGACCATTTCCACCACCCCCTCCCTCAGAAACCAGAGGAAGTCCTTGGAACCTCCCTGCAGGCTTCCCCATTAACATTCTAGGGAAGACAGCAGGAAAGATTGCAAATGGTGATCACATGATTGCAGAGCACTTGACAGTTGGTCATAAGTGTGAACAGGTCACCAGCACCTAGATTGCAATCATGTGATGACAGACTGAAACAGTTGTAACTGTACAGGTTGTAAATCTCTGTTCAGAAACATTGTAATTTTGAACGATCGCTGAACAAATGGTTATTAAGCAAGGACTAAGCAAGGACTATCTGTGTTTACAATTGTGCTTAATTAATACACAAATAGAAAAAAATAGTTTGACCAATGGAAGTAAAATACTGTACATGCAAGAAATTCTTCTAAACTACCCATTGTTTTGCTTGCGCCAGTGACTTGAAAAAACTAAAAAAAGATGCCCTTTAAAGTACTATATAATAATCATGTTTAATATGACGCTCAGCACATTTTCAGGGTTTTTTACTTGTTTAAATGCTCCAGATATAGTATTCCCCATATCTTGCAGATCTTGATTTACCGTATTTGCCGGCGTATAAGACGACTGGGCGTATAAGACGACCCCCCAACATTTCCACTCAAAATATAGAGTTTGTTATATACTCGCCGTATAAGACTACCCTCTCTTCCACACACCTTCCACTTTTGCACTTTTTTTTTTTTTGATGCACTTTTCTGCTTTGGACAATTTTGAAATGAGCTAATCCAATTTTGAACCAAGAATATGCAAATAGCTATGGAGTTTAGAAATGAGTTTTAAAAATATTTTTCATTGCTTACCATTAAGCGTAAAATATGTTGTAAATAAAATGAGAACACAGGAAACGTTCTCTTCTCAATACAGCTGATCTCTCTCTCTCTCTCTCTCTCTCTCTCTCTCTCTCACACACACACACACACACACACACACACACACACCAAAAACCCGGACACTGAAAAGGCTGCCAAGGAACAGTATATTCAATGCCTTCTCTTTAATCAAGAAACAAGGAATTCCTTAGAATCTTTTTTTTTCCCCAAGTGGCCCTCTTTAAAAAAAAAAAATGGAGGTAACACTTTCATTCAAAAAGTCTTCCAGTATCTGGAGTCACTCAGACATATTGAAGTGAGGCAGGAGAGTAAGTGAAATTTGAAATGATCCAGCTACCGTTTTCTTCCCCTCCCGCCCGAAGGCCATTATCTCCACGTCAAAACGAACGAGGGGAGGCAAAGAAGCCAAACATGCTAAAAAGGATCTCTTTATTTTCCTACACAAGGTCACACCTACTTTTCCGCATTCAAAGGACAACCTCTCCTCACCACCACCACACACACACACACACCCCAATACCCGCAAACAATGTTCTGGGCATTAATCACCATTGCTACATTAACCTGGTAAATTTATACCCTGCCTCCCCCAGTGTTGCTTTGACGGCAGGATTTCACACAGCGGGGCGCTCGCTCGCTCTCTTCTCCTCTCTCCCACCGTTCGCACATGTTGGAAGCACCGTAAAACCTGATCACCCACCCGGGGGCTCCCCCATCCTTAACCTACAGCCGCCCGCATGCAAAACCTGCGTGCAAAAAGAAAAAAAGAAAAAGAAAAGTACGCCGCACGTGAGGATCTTCGAATCCTCTCCTCCCCACACCGCTAAGGAAGGAAGAGGGGGAAAGGTTGTGCAGCGCGTGGCGAGTGACACCCGCCACACACACACACACACACACACCGCTCCCCCCCCAGCCTCCCTCCCGGCTGCAACTCAAGCTCGAAGTGGGAGTCGGAGTCCTCCCGGCGTATAAGACGACCCCCTCACTTG